CAATGAGCATTTTGAACAGCAGGAACTCCAGGATCTCCCAATCCTCAAAGTAGACCTTTATGTCCTTCCTGCCCGGCGAGACGTAACCCTTGCAATGTGGCTCGTTTAACTTTTGGACAGCCGAGAACGCCCGTCCGCTGTATATATCGCGGACATCGGTTACAAGTTCGAAAGGTGAATGCCTACACCGCAACAAGTAGAAATTGCTGGCGTTTTGGTCACCCAGCGAAATATTGCAGATCTATGGCGAATGCCCATCTGTGGTCCGACCATTCTTCTCTACGCTCCGTTCCTTCGCTACTTGAACCATCTTCCAATGCCACCACACGTTGACTTTTCTAACCCCTCTATCCGAAGGTGCCTTTACCTACCGATTTCCTGATAATTTTCTTCATCGCCAATCATGCCTATTTACAGTGTGAATATCGCGCGGCCTCAGGGGTAATCGGGGTGAACTTCAGATGTTTGCTTTCTCCAGGTTTTCCCCTGTGGTGCATGCTTTTACAAGAACCATAATTAACACTCTCGCACTCGCTGTTTTCCAACCTATCCACTACAATTTATTGTATTCTTCGATCCTTTCTCAGATGGGACCTTAATGAAAGTGCCTTCTTCTAACCAATGATATTCCGTACTGTCACTATTTGTCCATACCTCGCGTGCATTACACTGCAGCCCGATCCACTTGAAAAGTGGTTACAATATGTTTCTTTATAGTATCTCTCCTTCTCGAGCATTTTCCTATCCCAGATTCTTTGCCTTTCTTGTTTCACATCCCATCCCACTTGCTGATACTTATGGTGATTTTAATGCCACCCATTTCCTCTGTGGGGGGGTCTCATTTGGTGACTCACTGGCCATTCATTGGAGGCTTTTTCTTGCCACACACCCCCTCCATGTTTTAAATTACGGGGTACTTCCCACCCATTTGATCCTCAGTCTTCATACTCCTCGACTCTCTCTAGCATCGATCCTATCAGTCTGCTCTTCCTCCACTGCACTGAGACTTCACCTGGTCTGTTCACCACTTACCATGACAGCATCATTTTTTCCGATCATTCTTACTGACTTCTCCTTCCATTCACCACCTTCCCCCTGTAACCCTCCATTTAATAACTCTCCTCTCCTTTTTTTTATGACAAATCCTTTTGTTTTCTAGGCTTCCTTAACTTTTTAATCTCACCCCAAAAACTTTTTCTTATTTTCAACAAAATTTGTTGATAACATCTCCACCCACTCTCTCATTTGCTTTCTTTTTACATTGCTTCACCACTCTCTTAAACCTCTTCTTTTTCTCCATATATCTTCCCTCCTTGCATCACTTCTACTTTGTAAAACTTCTCATATGCTAACTTTTTCTCCTTACTACTCTCTTTACATCATTCCACAATCGCTCCTTTTCCCTCCCGCACCCACTTTCCTGAAACCCACAAACTTCTGCTAAACATAACACTACATTTTTAAACCTACCCCATACCTCTTTGACCCCATTGCTTATGCTCTCATTAGCCCATCTATCCTCCAATAGCTGTTTATACCTTACCCTAACTGCCTAAGGTATAAACAGCTATTGGAGGATAGATGGGCTAATGAGAGCATAACAGTACAGTAAAATATAATTTTAATAAATGATAAACAATCAGAAATAATTAAAATGAATGAGCATATACAACAATTCAGATATCCCCCCCTTTAGAGTGCAGGCACTGTACTTCCCATTTCCAGAACTCATGCCTGGCTTACTGGTTTTCCCTGAATCCCTTCACGCAATATTATCTTGCTCAAGTCCCACATGCCTACTATGTCTAAGCCCCTTGCACACAAAACCTCCTTTACCCCATCTTTTCCTAGGATGACCCCCATCCTGCCTTCCCTCCACTACAGATATATACACCCTCCAAGTCATCCTATTTTGCTCCATCCTCTCTAAATGACCAAACCACCTCAACAAGCCCTCTGGATAATACTTTTAGTATCTCCAAACTACATATTTAGGTTTTTGAAGATTTCTCAGAAATTTAAATGCTTTATTGGTATCTGTTCCATCTCTGATATCTTTCCTGCCATAAAAGGAGCTATCATCACTGAGCAAGAGGGCACAAGTGATTTGAAGTGTCTCCATTGTTTTTAAAGTTGTCAATCTCCAGGATGTCATGAAATTAGACTTACTGCTTTCCTTCACCCTGGGTTAAAGTTTATTCTCCCCTTTTTTCATACTTTTGAGATCCCATATTTTTATGGCTTGACATGCTGTTGGGGGTGTGAGCAAGGCAACACTTGTGAAGGGATTCAAGGAGACCTGACTGAGTTTTGGATGTTAGTAGTATAATGCCTACACTCTGAAGGAGGGGTAAGGATGTTGCAGTTCAGAGGGTTATTTGAACTGTAAAGTCTACACACACACAGCTACTTAACCCTTTCACTGTCGGTCCCATAATATAGCTTGCAAGCCAGTGTCGGTCCCATAATAGTACGCCAAAATTCTAGTGGCTTCCAATCTTGCAGGAGATAGCTGGTAGGCCTACGTATGACAGAATGGGCCTGAGTGGTCAATGTATGCAGTATAAAAAATAATCCTGCAGCACACAGTGCATCGTGAGAAAAAACTGCGACCGTGTTTTTAGCTTAAAATAATGGCTGCAGTGTATAGGGGAAGGAAGGCAGGGTAGGGGTCGTCCTCGAAAGGGTTGGAGAGAGGGGGTAAAGGAGGTTTTGTGGGCAAGGGGCTTGGACTTCCAGCAAGCGTGCGTGAGCGTGTTAGATAGGAGTGAATGGAGACAATGGTACTTGGGACCTGACAATCTGTTGGAGTGTGAGCAGGGTAATATTTAGTGAAGGGATTCAGGGAAACCGGTTATTTTCATATAGTCGGACTTGAGTCCTGGAAATGGGAAGTACAATGCCGGCACTTTAAAGGAGGGGTTTGGGATATTGGCAGTTTGGAGGGATATGTTGTGTATCTTTATATGTGTATGCTTCTAAACTGTTGTATTCTGAGCACCTCTGTAAAAACAGTGATAATGTGTGAGTGTGGTGAAAGTGTTGAATGATGATTAAAGTATTTTCTTTTGGGGGATTTTCTTTCTTTTTTGGGTCACCCTGCCTCGGTGGGAGACGACCGACTTGTTGAAAAAAAAAAAAAATTTATGGTTGTTTTCTTGATCTCATTTGATAGAAGGGAAGATATATTACAGAAATAGAGATGATTTTGAATGGTTTACAGACTAAAAGTACGCTCAAATTATCGGAAATGTTCAAGAGTAAACAAACATGTCATGCATCCAATACATGTCAACTGGTGGGTCTAATATGCTTTAACAAATGTGCTGATATTATTTATACCATTTTTACAATAATGCAGTAGTCTGCATAATAGTAAATATTTTTTGTGTGAATAAAAATTCAAAATGGAATATAAGAGGGGCCTGGAGAAAATGTTATTTTAGTGACAGGAATGTTTGCATTGTTAATTCTGAACCCTTCCTTGAATTTTGTATGAAATTGGCCAAATTCTGATCACTGTATTAGGTAGTTGAAATAGCAAAATAGCTATGAGTTTGGTTGACTGGAACAATAGAATTGGCCAAAAATATGGCTCAAAGTGGGAGAAATCACCAATGCATAAATATTGCTGAGACTACTAACTTCGCAAGAGCGTAATTCCATAAGTTTTCTATCAAATTTCGTACTTTTGGTTTCATTACAGAAAGAATAATCATCCCTATCTTTAATGGCAAGTCAGCAGAGCCTTTCACACCGACAGCTGGAGTGCCACAAGGCTCGTGCCTTAGCCTGATACTCTTCAGCATATATGTAAACGATCTCCCTCAACAATACTATCACCGCCCAATTTGTTGATGTTATCCATGTAGTGTCATCCACCCCCATAACAGGAAAACATAAGCATGTGAGGGTAACAGAAATAATGAATATGGAACTATGAAGAACAGCAAACTGGGAGAAGAAATGGAGAATCACGACCAACCCAGATAAAGTCCTCATCAGCATCATCAAATGTTTTGTAATGACTATAAAAGACAAGGTGGTATCTCCATCAGAGGTACACCTATTCCCATCAGAAACCCAAACAAGATCCTGGGATATGAGGTAGACAGATTATTCCACTCCACCCCACATCTCTAAAATGGTGAACTTAGCCAAAGCCCACCACAACAAACTATACAGGTTTAATCAAGCCCCTGCCCACATCAAGAAACACCTGTACAAGATGATGGTAAGACCTATGCTTGAGTATCCTTGTGTACCCATATCATTAATAATGAAATCCAACATGCTACAGCTACAAAGAGTCCAGAATAGAGCATTCCACTTTATCACAGGCACCAGAAGGAGAGAGAGAATCAGGATGGAAGATCTACACATCCAACTGGAGATAGATGCAATAAATGTCAGGCTTGAAAGACTAAAGAAGAGACAACTATACGACATGCAAGAACTCTATGTACCAGAGAAAACCTTCCCCAGCCAACAAACACCACTGACTACATCATCAACACACCTCCCCACAGAACCCTGCAATAAAGAGTGCGACGATTCATCCACTACGATAATTTCCAGAGATCAATGATCCTAAGTGATCTCCCAGAAGATACAGATGAATGGGTAACACCAGAACCCTTTTATGTCCAATAAGGATAAACAACCCCAATTTATGGAAACTTCACTCTAACTTATTAGCTCTTATATATAACCACAACATCTGCAAACCTACTACGGCAGGACACCACCTCTGAAGCAGCTGAGCCAACCAGTATCTCCTGGTAGTAATCAACCTACATCAAATACCTTGTATCGTCATTTCCAGCCTACGCCCGGCAACTGCAAAAAGTATAAACCCCTGCCAACTCGGCATCATTTGTTATAACTGTGTGAAACTGATGAGTAGTGTTATACACCATTCAATGAAAATGATTTCATTAATGACACTACAAAAACTTGTATTAAAATGCACCAAAGAGGTTAGGCCACTTACCCTTTTTTTTTTTTTAATTCTTCGACAGTGAGAGCAAGTGTCTCGACAGTGAAAGGGTTAAATGAGTGATGGTGAATGTATATCCTACTTTTCTCTAATCACCCTGTCTCAGGAAAGTTGACCACTGTGTTAAAAGAAAATAATTGCTACACCTGAGCCATGACAATCTTCACCTGCATTTAAAGTGAGCCCACAAAATGTAACTAGTAGATCTAACTGACAAATAATTTTCCCACACAGCCATAAACATGTGTGATAAACAATTTAAGGATTAATGTAAATAAAATTAGCAGGTTTCGGTTTCAATGTGGTTGCATCTAACAATATTTACTCTACACTATTTAAAAAATTCTTTTATGAAGACTGCAAAATATTTGCACTCTTTTTGAATAATAAAATATAAAAGAAGTACTGTACATAATAAAATTTTTAGAAATAAAAAATTGACTTACTGCTGGAGTTACAGCAACTAAAGTGTTTGTGTTATTAATGATGGGCTTCTTTAACATTCCTGGGGTATCAGGGTTCTTGCGGCCAATAAGCACACTACGAACAATCTCCCTGAACTTGTTGCCTGTAGTTTCCACCTTGGGTGTCTCAGGGACCTTTGTTACACCAAGGAATTCATTTGTTTTCATTCTCAAATCGTCTACGAGAGCACACAGCAGTGAAGATCGTGTACGCATCTGTAAAAAAAAAAAGTGAAAAATAAAGGGAACTACTGTGTTTCAATGATTCAAACTGGAAGTCAGTTATATTATTGTGTGGCAAAGTTTTGTGTATATTTGGCACCTATGATTATATTTCCTACTTCACTCAGGAATTTCTTGAATTCTCTTTATAATAAAACCACAAACAACCTTCAAAAGCAAATATCATACCATAAATACTTTGGTGAGAAGAAAAAACTAAATTTTCAATGCACTGGTGTAACAAAAATTACCTCTGCCATCCCACAACTGATTATAATCATCTTCACTGTAACTTTACTCTAAAATATGTGCTGCACATAACACACCACATCCAAAAAATTCAAATACATACAGTAAATACTTGAGGGTAACCCAATACAGCACATTAGTCAATCCCTGGCAATCTTTCAACCCTTCAATCCACCACTAAAACAGGGATGGGATGGGGGGGTTGTAGCCCCCTATGCCTTCACTAAATGGAGAAAATGAGATTTACTTTACATAAATTTTTGCTTAGCTAAGCAATCCTCTAGTCCCTATCTAAGTCATGAAGGAGGAGTGAATCATAAAAGTTCATACAGGGTATGCAAGTATAAACACAGAATATTTCACAGTCTCATATATCAACAAGGTTAACATGGTGTCACAACTGTAAACTGAGAAAAAATGGTAGAAAAATCAAATGAGATAGAGGAGGCAGTACTAAGTGTTCCAGGAGCTACAAACAAGTGATCACTACTGTAAATATAGCAAATGGCCAAGTATTCAAAATTCTAGAGATTTAATTTACATACTGAGGTTGGAAGGGTATTAAGAGTAAATTAGGTGTCTCTAGCACCTCCTGGCTTACTTCAAAGTTAAAATCTGAATTAAAAGATAGTGTACTTCACACAAGGAATAAAATACTTTAATAATCAGGCTGCACATTAAAAAATTTCCTGGCTTACCTCTAATTTTGCAAACCGCTCTGCTTTATAACAAGCAATCTCTGCATTGATAAGCTTAGTAAGGAGGAACTCTTTGAAGTGAGGACTCTTCTCAAAAGTAGATGTAGGAGGGAGGGTGGGTCCAAAGAATGGAACATCAGACCTCGCTGTCACACTCACTCGGTACCTGGTGATGTTATATTTAGTATTACTGATGATAAAAGTATCTGGGACGGGAAAGAAAAGGAGCAAAGTGATAAACAATACTGTGTAGGAGAAACAAAGGAGAAAATAAAAATAAACAAATATATATACATCCTCTCCTCACTTAACGACAGGGTTCCGCTCCTAAGAGTAGGTCGTCAAGCGAGGAGCGTACTATACTGGTAGTGGGTTTGTGTCAACCATCTTTAGATATTTTTTAATGTCATTTTTGCACCATTTATAACATTTCTGGTATATTTTTAAATGTTTATACAGTAGTGTACTGTATACTGTAATAAACAGAATAGAAGAAATCAGCTCTAATATACATTATTTTAGGTGTGCACACTGGTTGGAGAGCTGGACGTAAGTCCAAGTCATCGGTAAATGAGTATGTTAATGAGCTTTACTCAGACCTCTCCAACACAACTGCCATCAAAGATTTGTTAAGTTATACCATGAATTAAGGAAAGATCCAAGACTTCACCTTACAACACAAATCTTCTTTCTTTTCTTTCAACACACCGGCCGTATCCCACCGAGGCAGGGTGGCCCAAAAGGATAAACAAAAGTTTCTCCTTTCACACTTAGTAATATATACAGGAGAAGGGGTTACTAGCCCCTTGCTCCTGGCATTTTAGTTGCCTCTTACAACACGCATGGCTTACGGAGGAAGAATTCTGTCCCACTTTCCCATGGAGTTACAACACAAATGTGATAGTAATTATGGACATGGTAGATTATAGTGGGAAAATGAGCATGTTATTAGATGACGGGAAATTATGTGCCTCTTAAAGTTTTTGAAGTGTTCGGGGGGTCAAGATGTAAAGTATGTAATAAGGGCTTTTAGGTAATTTTTTTGTAGAATGGTATTAGTTATGTTTTCCTTGATTATGGAAATAAAAGTCTTGACAGATGGCTAGAGACAAAGCTCTCTCTCACCTAGTATTGGGCGTGCAGGGTTCAATAGGCTGGACAACGATGTAGGCATGAAGGAAGTGTGAGGCAATCATATCAGGTGCAAATGGAGTGTTGGTCTCCTGGAACACAATAGCAACCATATCATTGCCAATGTGTCGTTTCCTTTCAAGTTGCTGTGGGTCATTCTCTTTGTAAGGCAATAACGTAGACACATGGAACATAATCTCTTTCTCTCGGAACTTCTCGTAAATGCTCTCCTCTCCTGTCTGACCAAACTGGGTATCTAGACCTCCTTTGAATCTGAAAAGAGAAAGCCTGTGGTAGTTTTGGAATTATATGAATAAGAATGGTTGGGTTTGAGAAGAAGCTGTATAGCATGGGCCAGTAGGCATACTGCAGTGCTTCCCCTATGCTTATATTATTTATGTAGAGATCCTTTATAAAAGTTTATTGTTTAAATTAAGTGTTGGGAGGTGAGTTCCTGCCCTTCATCATGACATGTCCAATAAGCAGGCAGTAGGAATGGAGGGAGAGCAGCTTTAGTTTGAGTGACTGCATGGAGTGCTACTTTTTCCTCCATTAAATATGACATAAAAATAAAGGAATGGTGTAGTAGGCCTCCTGGGCCTACTGTGAGGGGTTTAGGGAATTTTGGGGGTTTCAGCCCTTAACACTGCCCCTGAGTATCTACATTATTTATAAATGTACCAGTTATTTTTTTTCTAGGGCTAGAACCTTTCATTTCAACAGTGACCATATGGCACACTACCTGTAATGGGTCCCCATTCTGATTTCTCCCCCAACAATTCAAATATGTATCAAAGAATTAATGTGCTCCCTGAGTCTGTCAGAAAGAGAATGGCCAGTTTCTCCAAAGTACTGAAGAGGACAAGAGGGACAGGAAATAAGAGTAGATACCAAGAGCATCTATAGAGGGAGGAGAGGTATGAACTAGATTGGCACAAAGAGTGTCTGTCTGCCAAAAAGTATGTTTGATGTCTAAGAAAAGGAGAGAGTTATTTAGATTAGAAAGACTCTCTACTCCTGGGAACTCTTCTGTTCTCTGCCTTCCCTATATTTCTAATCTCAACAACTCTCTCCGTTCCTTAGGCATCAATCTTTGTGCCAATCTAGTTCATACATCTCTTCCCTCTATAGATTCTCCTGGTGTCGACTCTATTACCTGTTCCTCTTGTTTTTTTCAGTACTTTGGAGAAACTGGCCATTCTCTTTCTGAAAGATTCAAGGAGCACAAAAGTAGTGTTAGGCTTGCCGACACCAACAACGCTCTTTTCTGTCATGTCAGGGATCACAGTCATCCTATTGACTGGTCTTCTGCTAAAACTGTCTAACCTACTTCTAACATTCACAGTCGTCATCTGGTTGAATCATCCCTTATACACAACTTTCCTTGTATGAATCTTACTCCTGGCTTTATCTCTGTAGATGCCTTCCTTTCCCAATACACTGTAAAATGTTCCAAACTTCAGAACACCCATGACTTAACCTGATTGTTTTTTCTCCTTCTCCCTCTTTCCTTTTTCCTCTTTCTTCTTTGGGTTTTCTTTCTTCTGCCATGAATGTTTCGTTCTTTTCCCCCTTCCCCGTGTTTTTGTGTCTACCCTTTGTGGGCCCCTAGCTCTCTTGCAGTACTCCTCTTTCTTGGTCTTTGACTGAGTTCACTATTATTACTACTACTTTGCATAAATACCACCACTACCTCTCTACTTCTTTTCCTACTACCTGTCTTGTCTCGTCCCTGTCTGCTGGCCTACATATACTGCCCCCTTCTTGAATCCTTTCTGTCGGTGTGGCTTTGTAAATGGTCCAAGTCAGACTGAAATGTTGTCATTAGCTCCTCTCTCCTATGTGCGGGTTATTTGTGTATTGTTCCAGTCACAGTATTATGCTTTTTTGCTATTTACCTTCACCAGAGATGGGTTCATTGTTTAGTAAAGCTATAATAGTGTTATATCCACATTTTGTGATGGCTCACATGCTGTCAACTATTGTTGGACTGAAAGGTTGAAACAGCCCTTAGGTACTCACAGCCCTCTAACCCAACAAGAAGAAGCCTACTCACCATCACAGCTCTTCAACCCAACGTAACAAAACACAATATAATAGTTCTTCTCTTCATATTTTAATCATTTTTCATATTTCTTCTTATGTACTCATAAGTAAAGAGGTATAATACCATTACACCTTCAATTAGCAATGGACCGATTTCTGGCAAATACATATTTTTAAAATTTCATCATTAATTAAAACATTAATACTACAGGAATTAGACAAAGAACATTATAATCCCAGCCCCATATGAAGTTATAACATGGGCTTCTAGAACAAAATGCAATTCACTTAATGAACCATTCCTCTGGTACTTAAGTCATATAATGGTGGTTCCCTTGTAGTCAGGGCCTCCACAAGAAATTTTGCATGGCAGAACAAGACTGCTTTGGGGCCCCTGGGGGCAGTTATTTTTCTAAATTAACTGAAACAAGCCGAAATTATCAAAAAAATCAAATGAATAAAAAAATAAAAAAAAAAAAATTTATGGCTATGGGGCTCCTTCAGAGACTCACAGCCTGCCCCTGGACCAATGTAACGGCTGAACTTTCCTCCATCCTCACAGCCCCTGCTTGTAGAAAAATATAACTGGTGAGCACACATGAAAACTCACCCTTCATGGTCCTTGAGTTTAACTCTCTGGCCCATGAGACAGAGAAACTCCTCAAGAGCTGCAACGTGACACCTATTGCTGAAGAGCTGCTCTTCCATGGTCTGTCCGAAGCGTTGGTAGATAAGTCCAAATTTGAAATGATTCTTGAGGACATGTTCATCATAGGCCAAAATTAATTCTGGACCCTCAGGAGTCACAACGGGATAGAAGCGTTCAACTGTCAACTCTTCCTTCAGCCTCTGTGGAAATGGCGAGAGTCACTTTATGAAAATATTGTTTCATGTAATAGTAATAATCTTGACCACCAGTGCACACAACACTATACATATAAGATTGATATGGTAATAATAGGATATATTAGAGTTATAAACAATAATATGTTAACAGTGCATGTACAGTGGTACCTCAAGTTATGAACTTAATTCGTCCCAGAAGGCTGTTCGAGTGCTGATACTGAACGAATTTGTTCCCATACGGAATAATGTAAATTAGATTAGTCTGTTTCATACCACCAAAAATACACTTACAAAAGCACTTACAAAAATACACTTACAAAAACACTTACAAAAATACACTTACACAAATGTTCGAGTTGGGAGCTGTTCGAAACTCGAGGTACCACTGTATATTTCTTACAAGGAAAAGTCTGTAATTATGTACAGGCAGGCCCCATCTTTACAGCACTTTGCTAATACAGACATCTCAAATTATACCCAAAAATTTGTTTATACAGCTCCTGATTTACTATTACGGCATCCACATGCCACTCTTTAGTTATATCCTTCATGAGCTCTGCGTCTCTCTCAATTCTGTCTGCAAAATTTTCAGAGTTTCAACTGTTTTAAAGTTATTACATATTTTACATATATTCTTTTTTTGTTACAATGACATCTAAAGGTAGTTAAAATACACTGACAAAAATACAAGAGAGTAGAACAACATAGATAACAACTCAGGGCTACATCTTGAATATTTCGTCCAGCTCCCTGGCACTGGGCCACGTGCCTAGAATGCTGCAGGCATTTTCCCTCTGGATCACAACATTGAGTCTCTGAAAGAGGAAGCTGGCTGCCCTGTGATTCTTGGTTTCTATGATGAGTTTCTCACCCAGCTCTTTGAGGAACTTTAGAGCACACTTGCCCCATGCTCCAAGGGTCTCCAACCCTATTGGGATGAAGTTATAGCAAGGGGAAAGGCCTTCATATTTGCAGGTCTTCTGGGTCTCCCTGTGGCTGGCAGCTCCAGCCCCTTCAGCTACAGAGTATGGCAAGTAGGTGTCTGCCAATGTGGTGGTGCAGGTCTAGTCCTAGGCAATCTGCTTACCATCCTTCCAGGGTAGCATAGTGGCTCCATCAGGTTGCTCTTGACTTCTGTCAGATCTCCACACTTGGGGTTCCCATTGGGCTGTGGCGAGGCATCTCTTTATGACATCGTTGACCTCCTCATGTCTAGCATACTTCCCTTCTGATGTGTGACACACGAGAGCATGAAGTCCGAATTGATCAGCAGTCGCCCTGCTGCAAATACACCTATGTTCAGTGAGTATGGGGGTGGCTAGGCGAAGGGCAACACCAATCCAAATGGCCTGTGGGTCGAGTCAAGTGCCCAGGGAGGAACTAGGGAACAGCTAGAAGGAAATCTCCTGAGTGTGGTGCCTTCACCACTAGGAGACGAGCTTTGTCCTTTCCTGAAGCGTTGGTGAGCATTGTGTTGGCGATTTTTTCCATAATCAGTTTGTCCCAGTGAGACTGTTTGTGCTCTTTGGGAGGAGCTGGTCTACTGGAGAAGTCTGCAAGGATGTCCCACCACACAGCTGTATCAATGAACCTGGGGTCTTGAGCTCCTACCAAGTCTCTTGAGCGTTCGGGGACAATCTTCTTGACTAATCCACTGGAAATGCAGGTAAAGCTACCTGCATTTCTTGAGTGTTGGGCTGTTAAAAGAGAGTGCGCACCTCAGGAAGTAGGTGAGTCTTGGCATAGTAAGACACCTTGTGAGGAGATACAGGGCATCAAGATCACTTATTCTCTCCTCCGTTCTCTTCAGGTCATTCAGTTTATTCTTGAGGATTGTGTCGATGGCCTGGTAACCCAATGGTGCTCCCAAGAGGGTGCTGTTGGATGGAGTGGTAGTAGAGATTTCCTGGTTTGTTGTGATGATTTCACACTTGGAGGGACTGAGGATGAGTCCCAAGGCTTCTCCTTGTGTCTTCACCAGTTGTAGGTCCTCTAGCAGGGACTCTTCAGTACCTGCCAGAGTGCCATCTTCCTGGTACCAGATGTTGAGCTCGCTGCATAGGCTGAAAGTTAGTTCTCTTACTGCCAAGCAGAGAAGAAGTAGAGCAAGTGGATCACCCTGCTGAACACCTTCTGATGAAGGAATTTCATGTTTGCCAAACAAAAGAATTGAGGGTTTGCTGTAGCCAGCTGAAATGAAGGGAAAAAAACTGGGGAACTGATCCCGAATGGCCGGCAGGACAACATCTCTTTTCACCATATTAAAGGCATTTTTAAAGTCAAGTCTGAGTACGGCCTTGTCTTCTGGTAGGTCCCTGATTTAGGCCCTTGCCGCATGAGCTGTGGCTTCACTGCCTTGAGCGACCCCAAAACCCAGTTTGTGTGGCTGGAGTAAACCGGCAGCTTCTAGGCAAATGTTTCTTACTGCTGCTTTATATATACAGTGGACCCCCGGTATTTGATGGCATCGGTATTCGATAAATTCAGTATTCGATGCATTATATCGCAAAAAATTTTCCTCGGTATTCGATTGAAAACCCAGTATTCGATACGATTCGTACAAGACCTGTCCACATGTGGCCTGAACTGCCCCTTGTGTGCCAGTGTTTACAAGCCAGCCAGTGTGCGCGCATCTAAGGATACATTCAGTACATTCCATATTATCCATATTATCACTGTGTTTAGTGCTTGTTTCTGCAAAATAAGTCACCATGGGCCCCAAGAAAGCTTCTAGTGCCAACCCTGTGGTAAAAAGGGTGAGAATTAGTATGGAAATTAAGAAAGATTTTGAAGGGTTTAGGGCTAACCCTGAGAAGCATATACCAGTTGTGGAATACATTGTGCCTACTTCAAAAATTAAGGAAATGTGTGCACATTGGGTTGAAGTGCAAACCTTTATGGATGAAAATCACCCTAACACAGCTATTACAGTGACAATGTTGTGGCCCATTTTACACAAATCGTAAAGGAACGGGAGGTACAGAGCTCTATGGACAGATTTGTTGTGCGACAGAGGTCCAGTGACTCTCAAGCTGGTCCTAGTGGCATTAAAAGAAGAAGGGAAGTAACCCTGGAAAAGGACTTGCTACCTCAAGTCCTAATGGAAGGGGATTCCCCTTCTAAACACTAACACCTCTCCCCTCCTTCCATCCCATCAATCATCACCAGATCTTCATTAAAGGTAAGTGTCAATTATTTTATTGTTATTGTAATTATTCTACTGCATTAAACTTAATATTTCATGTAGTAAAATTTTTTTTTTCATACTTTTGGGTGTCTTGCACGGATTAATTTGATTTTCATTATTTCTTATGAGGAAAATTGATTCGGTTTTCGATATTATCGGTATTCAATGAGCTCTCAGGAACGGATTAATATCAAATACTGGGGGTCCACTGTATGTATGTAACACCGGGCACATCTCCTGAGGCACACATCAACCAAATAATTGCTGCAGCATAAGGGCGTCTAGCAAACCTAAGAACAGCATTCTGACATCTCAATAAGAAATCGTTCAAAAACCTGTACACTCTGTATATCAGGCCTATATTGGAGTATGCAGCACCAGTTTGGAACCCACACCTAGCCAAGCATGTAAGGAAATTAGAGAAAGTGCAAAGGTTTGCAACAAGATTAATCCCAGAACTAAGGGGCATGTCCTATGAGAAGAGGCTAAGGGAAATCGACCTGACGACACTGGAGGACAGGAGATGGGGGGATATGATAACGACATACAAAATACTGAGAGGAATAGACAAGGTGGACAGAGACAGGATTTCCAGAGATGGGACACAGCAACAAGGGGTCACAGTTGGAAGTTGAAGACTCAAATGAACCACAGGGATGTCAGGAAGTATTTCTTCAGTCACAGAATTGTCAGGAAGTGGAATAGTCTGGGAAGTGATGTAGTGGAGGCAGGATCTATATTCAGAGTGGGTAGAGTGACTGAGTAGCGGCCAGTGAAGAAGTGGGACCAGGAGCTGAGACTCGACCCCTGCAACCACAACTAGGTGAGTATACAAACACACACACATAATATATATATATATAATATATATATATATATATATATATATATATATATAATATATATTTTATATATATATATATATATATCTTTCTTTCTTCTTTCAACGTACCAGCCGTATCCTACTGAGGTGGGGTGGCCCAAAAGAAAAAACTGAAGTTTCTCCTTTTAAATTTAGTATATATATATATATATATATATATATATATATATATATTATATATATATATATATATATATATCTTTCTTTCTTTCTTTCTTTCAACACACCGGCCGTATCCCACCGAGGCGGGGTGGCCCAAAAGGAAAAACGAAAGTTTCTCCTTTTACATTTAGTAATATGTACAGGAGAAGAGGTTACTAGCCCCTTGCTCCCGGCATTTTAGTTGCCTCCTACTACACGCATGGCTTACGGAGGAAGAATTCTGTTCCACTTCCCCATGGAGGTAAGAGAAAATAAACAACAAGAACAAGAACTAGTAAGAAAATATTAGAAAACCCAGAGGGGTGTGTATATATATGCTTGTACATGTATGTGTAGTGTGACCTAAGTGTGAGTAGAAGTAGCAAGACATACCTGAAATTTTGCATGTTTATGAGACAGAAAAAAGGACACCAGCAATCCTTCCATCATGTAAAACAATTACAGGCTTTCGTTTTACACTCACTTGGCAGGACGGTAGAACCTCCCTGGGTGGTATAATATATATTATATATATATATTATATATATAATATATATATATATATATATATATATTATATATATATATATATATATATATATATTATATATATATATATGTAGGTAGTAGGTTGGTAGACCTACTACCTGTAATTGTTTTACATGATGGTAGGATTGTTGGTGTCTTTTTTCTGTCTCTTAAACATGCAAGATTTCAGGTACGTCTTGCTACTTCTACTTACACTTAGGTCACACTACACATACATGTACAAGCATATATATACACACACCC